TTCGAATATTAGGATTAACTTAACTTGATCAACGATTAATCAATAAATTATAACCAAAAATATAATCTGTTAGCAATTCTTTAAAAATACTCGTTTTATTAAAATCAAATCAAAACTTAAGATTTAGAAAACAATATGTATCGAATTGAGAATGTGAGTGAGGTGTTTTGAAATTACATAAAATTCTTTAAAAAAGTTTCACAAATTGTGAAAAAGCGTTACATGGGATCAATAAAGGGGAAATAAAAAAGGGGCGACCAAATACTAATACGACTTAATGAAATGGGTTGAATGAAACAATGTTCTAAAGGGGGGGTTAATAAAAAGGGGTTGTGTGGGTTTGAAAATGGGTATGAAAATGGGTTGGAATGAAATCACAGAGGAACATTAGAAGTATGTTTTGGATCATCATTGTTCACCATGCGAGAAAGCAGTGATGGAATCGACCCGAATGTTTTGCAGGGATATACTTCCGTGGTGACAGGAAGGTGAATTGGTATGGACAGGGATATACAATGTTCATACTTATAACCGAGAATTTATTGAGTTGCTCGCTTGACCATCTAAATAAATACAAATCGATGTTAATTATATTTAACTTATTATTTAAACAGCAATGACTTCCACCAATCCTACCTCTTTAGCCCATCGAGTGACTTCTCTTGTTCCGTTAGGCAAATTACGATTGTTTCTACCTTCTCTTAACACCTGCGTAACACAATCGTACTGGAACCATTGCTTAATCTGACCATTTTGGAATGCTTCCGCCAAATCACTAACAAATAAGCCAACTTAAGTTTATATTCATAAAAAGTTTTATAGTTAGTAAATCACAAACCCAATTAGGCCAATCATGCTTCGAATGATAATTTCAGTCTTTTCATGATCATTCCAAGTCATATTCATGAAATTGAATATTTGATCAATGTATCGCATAAGCAAATCAGCTATAAAATGACAAATCTTCGGTCAGCAGAAAACATATACAACGTAATTATTTTCATACCAGCACACAAACCTTTTTCACCAGACTTTAGGCCTTGTACAATGCCAACATATGCTTCCAGTATTCCCTCTCTTAATGCAATGACGTAATCTATCATGTCATAATTAGTCTATAAAAAGAATAAAGTTGATTAAATAAGCTAAATAAATAAATTAATGTGTTGAATTTTTGATTTTTAAATACCATCACATTTACACCATCAGCACGCATATTACTGGCTTGTAAGAGCACCAGCATTACTATTTCCAAGTATACTTCGAATCTACCACCTATGGCGAGAGCAATATCACCAAAGCATGAAAGAATTGCGGGTTTGACGTTCCTATTTAACACGGGGCTCTGTAATCCAAATAAATAAGGTCATTACTAGTATAAGAAATCACTCGATAAGTATAAATAATTTTACTGATTAACCTGAAGGTTTTGTAACAGAACATTCATAAAAGTATCGCAATAGGGTAATGATTGTTCTTGGAGCGCACGACATATATCTCCGATAAGTCCAACTGCAATTGAACAAAGCTGGTATTCTTCATGGTTTGATAATGCACCATAAAGGAATGGTGCAAACGCTTCAAGATACCTAAGAAAGTCTCCTTCCACGGCTGCAATTAAACAAAATTTTGTATAATAATTAGTAAATGTAAAGAAATTTTTGAACAAAAAGATGAAAGATAACCTGTGGTAATAGCCCCAACAGCAAGAAATCCATCCTCCAGCGTGGTGGAATGTTTTGTCGCAGTTTGGAACAAAGATAACAATGTTGTCATTATTCGGTCCGCAAATGGCACCACCTCGGTTCTGAGTTTACGAATAATGCTCTATGAAAAAAATGTAAAAGAATGAATTAATAAATACTAGAATAAGCTACCAGAACTTGATCGATCGTCAACATACCGTCAAAACACTGCATAGATTTGACTGTAGCTCAGAATGCGCAAGGCGTTCATCACTACCAACGATTTGATTCTATAATAAAGCAATGACATTAACACTTTCCTTAATTTAAATAACTAATATATAATAAAGTGTGTTACCTGTGCGGAGATAGTAGTATCAAGCCTATCAAGTATAGTAAATGTCAATTTTTGGATAGTTGGAAAACAATCCTAGAAGTACAAAATTTAAAAGTTAGTGCAATTAAAAATTACTTAAACATTGAAAAGAATTGTGAAATTTTATTGTCGCCGAGTAAGAATAAAATGAAATGCTGTCAACTGAAATTAAGTTATCTGCTGTAGCAATATTGTGTATTCCTTATTTTTATGATGAAAACTACGGCGCAAAGTGAACACGCAACAACTTTTGTTGTAAATATTTACCAATGCGGCCCCTTGCACCAGAATGGAAATGCACTCATAAGCCGATGTTCGCGAGTTAGATTCATTGGTTGACCTTAATGAAAATAACACGCAAAATCGACAAATTTACAAACACAAAATAGGATGGATTTATCAGGGAGAGTGTATAAATGGGAATATTAAAATCAAAATATACAAATATATTTATAAATACCTCTCAGTGGTTTCCAACAGCGCAGTGATAATTCCCTCAAAGTAAGCAGACAAATGATATGACGGCTGGGCCGTTTCCTTGCTGCCGAATTGATCAGACAAACTCATTAGGGCCTACATAATTAATATAATAATAATAATAAACTTAATTAAATTTTGCATAAATGATAACCCTAAAAAAAAATAAATAAAATTACTTAATTACTTACCCAACAACAATTGGACACAATACGTGGAGAATCCTTTAAGCCATAAACCAATGCGGTGATAAGAGGATGAAGGTGAACGTCAGGTTTGATACATTCTATTAAAAGTTCGGATACACGTCCAAGAGTCCACGCTGTTGTGTCTTTAACTTGAGGAGATGGATCTCTCATCATATCAATCAAAACCGGTAAAGCTTGGTTTACCAAATTTGCAAGTAACTTATGTTCAGGACCCTCTAAAATTGAACCGAAAGCCATAACAGCAGCCTCCCTGAATCTCCAATCATTATTACGAATATGATTTTCTATGAAAGGAATCACTGGCGCTACGACGGCATCTTCAACACATTGAGCTAAAAGAGCCAAGCAAGTACCCGCAGCCATTGAGACGTTCCAGTCATCTTCGTCAGCTTCTTCCTCCTGTGTAAGGGGTTGAATTGGTCAATTAGAAAAATCCAGGGAAA